TGTGACAAGATGTGAAGTCAACAGGTATTCACTCAGAGGGGGGTAGGTACTAAATGCCACCCATTTACATGTAGGCAAACAAAGTCAAAAATCAACATACAGTAGGGGGGTGGGGGATGGTGAACGGTATGGTCAATGTTTGTCAACACAATCCCCAGGATGTGTCCTAATCAAACCAAAATAGAAAATGCAGATATTACACTCATAAAAGAAATGGTAGACATATCAGTAGCCTACTCTTAGTGCCAAGTTGTCTCAGACAATCTGCATTTCCTAATGTGGGACAGTTCTGTGCAAAATGTGGGACACTGAAAAGTCTGTGTTAAAAAGCCTCAGTCACCTTAATTCATGTAATAAAAACATCTCAGGTCAGTAACACTGAAAGCTAAATGTGCAATACCATGTTCAGCTATGTTACTATTTATAATGTTATTGTTGTTACAACAGAAGATGTTTTTCTTTATATTGAAGTTAAATGCATCAATCTGGTGCACTTTGAGGGCAAAATTAAGAGATTTATGGATACCGCTGGAAAAAGCTGCAGTACATATGCCGAGCCTGTACGTAGCGCTGTAACTTCCTCCACAAAAGCAGCCTTCTGTTTATTCAACGTGGTGGGGGCCGAGGGAACCGGGCAGAGTTTTTCGCCGGTCAACGTGTGTTAAAGTTTAAATCTTCCTTATTGAGCTTTAAAACAAATGAATAACGACTATATATAATAATAAAATACACGGAGCCTGGCCTCTCTCTGTCCTCCCTCTCTTCTGACAGCGTCAGTGTCTGTCTCATGCAGCAGCTTGATCCAGTAATGAGTGACACATTTTGAGTTGTATACACTGTTGGAAATAGGAGATTCCTAGCTTTCTAATGATATCAGGATTGTTTTTGTACTCCAAATATTAAGCAAAATATGTCACATTATATAATGACTGTCACCGAGTCATCATTTTGAGAAAAAGGCCTTCAAAGTTTCCTCTTCTCTGGAGTCCATCGATCTGATTGATTATTAGCGGAGCAAATGATCAAAATAGTCCGGAGGGAAAATATTTCCGTTTGGATTACTGGTCTGGGGGAAGCTCGCGAGTGTATGTGTGTGTTTGTGTATTTTTGCGTAAGTGTATATTGTGTTTGTTTCCCGGGTAAAACACTCACGAGAAACACCGGCTGTTGTTATGCTTGCTGTAACGTTAAATTACTCCGTTCTCCGCTTGTAATTATGCCGTTACAAGCTTCATAGTTGTATTTATCATCTACATTTGCCGAAACAAGTTTAATATTCTGAAAGCCAAGACTTTGTTTATTTAAAATCAGATGAAAACAAACTGTAACGGACCCTGCCGTGTTATCTATGATTACTATATGCCTTACTGTACATTCATAATTTCAGCCGGAGGGAGGGGGGCGGCGCTGCGGAAGAGCAGATTGCGAGTGAGAGGTGCCTGTCATCTTCCCTTTACAAGCTTCACAAATGTATTTATCGTGTGATTTTGGAAATAAAAGTTTCATATTCTGAAAGCCAAGACTTTGTTTATTTAAAATCAAACAAAACACCCGAACCCCGAAAAAATAGTTTTTTACGCAAATCCACGTTTATTTTGAAATGAGCCGTTGCGACTTCCGACTGATTTCGATAGAGCGGGTCACATATATTATATAGTGTATTGTATTATTATATTATTAAGTAATATCATACATTAACCCCATTATAGCAGATGCCACATTGAATGGATGAACACATGTATGCATCAATAATTACAACAGAGTATTTCTAAATACAAGCTGTAAAAATACTTATATGTATTTAATACTAATAACATAATGATTAATTTCAGATGATAATACTTTTCAGTGTCTGTCTCATGCAGCAGCCGGACCTGTAATTTACAGGAAAGGAGTGTGCGCTACTAAAGAGCATAGACTGTATATATAAAGACGCGCTACCATGGAAACCAAACAATGGTGTAGCTGTATTGAAGTCCGAGTGGAAACAGTAGCATTTGGAGCGTTATGTTTGAATGAAACAGCCAGGTCGTGACTCACACAAAAAAAGTGTTACTTCACTAACTGTAAGCTTGTCACTCAGAGTAACCTACAGTTAACTTAACTGCTGGAGAAGAAAGATCAGGGGGGGGGGGAGAGAGCTGTGGGTGATGGGCCATTAGGTGTGTAAACACACAGCATTCAGACTGTTTAAAAAACGGTAACAACGGACTATTTTTCTTAGCGGATGCATGTCAATTTAAATCAATACATACAACTATTTTTTAAATCAATAAAAACATTTTCTATATCCATAAAAGCATTTCAATTAATATTGGGAGTCATGTCGTTACTTTGTTGAGAATGTGGCCATGTAATAAGCGGGATAATTTGCTGCGACTTGGTCATTGTGGGGAAAAATAACACCCAGGGATCCTGATCTGCCTGACAAGGCACCATTAAAATATAAATATTTTTAGTGAATTACTGAGTTTAGGCACGTTAATAACGTTTTAATGAAGTTGAATACAGAATATTCATATTTGTCAGTGATTTCATGTCAATTCGGCGAACATAAACATAAATGATCGTGGTGAAGATGATGATTAAATTAGGATTAAAAATCGAGAGCCGGCTGCATTTCCTCTCGTTCGTTTTTTTTCGACTAAACAACATTATTTTGTTAAATAACAACATGGTGATGTTTTGTAAATGATTACATGTCTTATTTAGCACAGACTATGATCCTATCCGTGACATATGGATCTTAACAAAGATCCGCTATACAGTAGTACAAGACATACTGTACATCCAGCTTACTGTATCGAAGTTGATTTCACATGAGCTCCAGTGTGGAACCCCACTGCACCCCCTGGTGGATCAATGATCCATTGCAGCTGGCTTCACAATAATAAAATCTATTTATCACGGGGGCGGTCTCAAGTAAGACTGGGGGCAGGCTCTTCATCACTGGCCTTTCACGGGCCGTTCACGGGCCGACCACGACCCTCGCGTTTCAAATTGTCCTAAATAAGCTGCTACATCTGTAGGATAAGTAATAAGGGAGTTATGAGTGAGTTTAGGTGCAGTTTTAGGTTACATTTTTTCGCTCGTGGCTAATTCAGAGGCTGAGTGTCAGCATTGTGGTTTTTTTTTGGATTTTATTTTTTAAAAGATCAGTTAGCTGAGTTTCTTCCCGTTACATGGATATAAAACATTCATAGTTTATTAAATATTAAGATTCCTTAGACGTTGTTTCCTGCAAATGACGCGTTTATCCGCCCGGTACCGGGGGGTCGGTGCGTAACAGGTTAAACCAATCAATGTTGTGTAAAGGATAAACTGATGTGTTTTAGTGGATGAGTACTGCAGGTATCACTGTGTAATCATTTGACAGTGAGGGGAATACGGTTTTACTATGAAAACTTCGAGACCAGAAATACTGTTTTCACCCTGTGAGGGTTGACGCTAACTTTACATGGACGCTGCCGTCAATAGAAATGAATAGGGGGGGAAGACGGAGTATATACACGTTCTCCTGGCGAGACCTCAAATCATCTTCGTAATATCTATCAAACTATAGATCCTACACATCCACTGGACGTAGATTCTAAAGCGGAGCGTTTGCAGTCAACGGGAGCATCAGAGGTCGATAACTTTAAAACGTGACTATAGGTCGTAATAAGCTGCACTACATACTGATATACACCTGAACATCAGCAGGAGAGGACTCTTTAAAGTAGAGACACTACATACTGATATACACCTGAACATCAGCAGGAGAGGACTCTTTCAAGTAGAGACACTACATACTGATATACACCTGAACATCAGCAGGAGAGGACTCAACCTGTTAAGCCCGAGAGACCCCGGTACCGGGGCCCTCCCGCAACATCTTGCAGGAAACAGTGTCTGAGGGCATCTTAACATTTAATAAACTATGAATGTTTTATATCCATGTAACGGGAAGAAACTCATCTAACTGATAATTTTTATTTCTTTTTCAAAAAAACAAACACAATGCTAGCGCTGAGCCTCTGAATTAGCAACGAGCGAAAAATGCCAACACATTTACTGCACCGAAACTCACTCATAAAACCTTATTATTTATCCTTTCTGCACATCCAACACATCGATTCGCATCGTGAGATGACACAGAATCGATGGGTACATACATTATCACTCTATGATAAGAACTCGCAACTTTATAAACAAAAACAGACATCAAAACATGTGGCGCTAGGTAGCTATAAACGCTAACATGGCTTACCTGTGTCGTTGTCTAGTCAAAAGTGGTCTTCAATGGCATTAAAATGATAAAAACGCTGCTGAAGTTAATACATAGGTTAATCCAATGTGTCTGTGTCCCTTTGAAATGATTTCTGATAATCCATAAGCAATAAACCTGCTTTTCCGTTTCCAGATGTCAGAGCGAGAGATAGGTTCACTGTGTGTGGGGGGAATTTCCCCTTCGATTCTATTGGCTCTAACGGTCAGAAAGAGATGTCAATCACCAAAATCAACCAATGGGTTCCAGAGAAACGGTAAAACCCCCATTTCCACCCAAATCACCTCAGAGGTGGAGTTCTTTTTGCTAAACCTCTCTAAAAAGGTCAAATGTCACTTGTTTTGCATCAATCTTGATACATGGTACTTATTATATGTTGTACTTTGGATTCCTAAAGCTTTTAGTCTACCTTACCATCATCCAAGGGTAGTTTTCACTATAAGTAAAAAATAATTTTTGGACGGACACTATAATTGACAGTTTTTTACTATGTTCAATCTGAACTTTCGTTAAAATAAAAAACATCTATATTGATTCTGACTTTTCTACATCCAACTCACACGTTTATCATTACTTTGAGAAAAAAGATTATTAATTTAACCCTTTTAGAAGGGAAGATATGGTTATTTGTTCTGGGAATGTCATTTTCGAGCCTCAGACCTGAAAAACAGGCTCAGGGCTTAACAGGTTAACAGGTTAAATTCGAGACATACATACTGATATAAATATTTACCTGCGACTCCATCGTAGCTGTACGGCTGTTCGTGGTCGAATCCCAAACACTCTGCCATTTTCCTGTGTTTATCGTGATCACCCTCCTTCCCTGAAACACACACACACACATGAGGAATTATTTTATTAGTTTATGATTTAATGTACAGATCAATCTATAAATACTATACCAAAGATACTATACTGTACTATCCACTTCATTAAATGATCAAATACTATACTACAGAAAACTGTTTTCTATAATATACTATCCTTTACTATACAACACAATATTATACTGTACTCTATACTATAATTTAAGCTGCAGTTTTAAACATTTCTATAGTATACTTTAACCTGTTAAGCACCAAGCCTGTTTTTCATGTTTCAGGCTCGAAAATGACATGCCCAAAACAAATGACTACTACTTAACTTCTAAAAGGGTTATATGAATAATTTATTTTATCAAAGCAAGGTTACATCTGTGAGTTGGATGTAGAAGTGTCAGAATCAATATAGATGTTTTTTATTTTAAAGAAAATTCAGATTTTACATAGTAAAAAACTGTAAATTATAGTGTCTGTCTAAAAATTCATTTTTACAGATAGTGAAAACTACCCTTGGATGATGGGTTAGTAGACTAAAAGCTTTAGGAATCCAAAGTACAACATATAATAAGTACCCTGTATCAAGATTGATGCAAAACAAGTGACATGTTACCTTTTTAGAGAGGTTTAGCCAAAACCACCCCACCTCTGAGGTGATTTGGGTGAAAATGTTTTTTTTTCCATATCTCTGGCCCCCCTTGGTCGATTTTGATGGTTGACACCTCTTTCTGACCGTTAGAGCCAATAGAATCGAAGGGGGTGGCCCCCACACACACTTTGTGAAGAGAAAAGGTGGGGGCTGCGCACATGTAAATTTGCAGCAGAGTGGACCTATCTCTAGCTCTGGCATTTGGAAACGAAAAAGCAGTTTTATTGCTTATGGATTATCAGAAATAATTTCAAAGAGGACACAGACACATTGGATTAACCTATGGATTAACTGCAGGATCGTTTTTTTAATAATTTGAATGCCATTGAAGACCAGTTTTGACCAAGGTAAGCCATGTTAGCGTTTCTAGCTACCTAGCTCCACATGTTATGATGTACGCTTTCGTTTATAGCGTCGCAAATGTTTATCACTGAGTGTTGAGGTGGGCACCCCCAGATTCTGTGTCTCCAGGTGATGCAAAACGAGTGGTTGGCTGTGCATCTAGGATAAGTAATTAGGGAGTTATTGTGAGTTGAGGTGCCGTTTTAGGTTACATTTTTTGCTCGTGGGTAATTCAGAGGCTGAGTGTTAGCATTGTGGGTATTTTTTGGATTTTTTTTTTTAAAAGATCAGTTAGATGAGTTTCTTCCCGTTACATGGATATACAACATTCATAGTTTATTAAATATTAAGATTCCTTAGACGTTGTTTCCTGCAAATGACGCGTTTATCCGCCCGGTACCGGGTGGGCTGTGCGTAACAGGTTAATATAAATGACTACTATACTATATTATAATATACAACATTTCATACAGCAAACTAGTTTATACTATACTAAAAATGCTATAATATATACGATATAATACTACATGCTTATATATACTATATACAGTAGTGTGTGTGTGTGTGTGTGTGTGTGTGTGTGTGTGTGTGTGTGTGTGTGTGTGTGTGTGTTTACTGTAGTTCAGCAGGAACCCCCCCTTCGAAGTATTGAACACAATCATCATGCAGGTTGGACACGTCTCGTAGAAATTAACAGACCCGGTTTCATTGTAGGCAACGAAGACTCCATCAACCTCCATCTCTGACACACACACACACACACACAAACACACACACACACACACACACACACACACACACACACACACACACACAAACACTCGACAGTTACATCAACCGTGATTATGCTGTTTTATCTTTCTAAAATAAACAAAATGTACTTGTTTGTGTGTGTGTGTGTGTGTGTGTGAGTTTGAGTGTGTGTGTGTGTGTGTGTGTGTGTGTGTGTGTGTGTGTGTGTGTGTGTGTGTGACTCACTGCCTTCGATGGGGTGCATTGTTTGGTTGGGGTTGTGCAGGAGCTCCATGGATATGTTAGCAACAGCTAGCAGCAGCAGCAGCAGCAGCGCTCCCTTTAAGACTTTCATCCTGAGACTCAAATCAAAAAATCAAATGCACCCTCTGGTACCTGTGAAGACACTGATCCATGAGACGGCTGAACGGTTTATATGCCGAGCTCCAGAGCCCCCGAGAGACCCCGAGCCGGTCCAAAGTCTGTGTGTTCAGAGTGTTATTGAACTGTGATCCAACTCCAACTGGCCCACTTCATTAATGTGTAAAAAGATTAAAAACACAGCGAGAGAGAACAGAGAAACACTGAAGCTATTACAACACATCTTAATAACATTTAGTTCTTTATTTGTGTATTAAATATTATTTTAAAATGTTTATATCTGTATGGTTTCTGAAGCTGCAGCGTGTTTCTAGTGATGGAAGTGATCTGAACCGATGCAGCACGTTTGTCCCTGCAGGCCACCGTAGAAACAGTTTTAAGATGATTGTTTTTTTATTACTTATATAATAATAATATAATAAAATATTACATTTTAAATAGTTAAATAAAGTAAAATAATGATTTCATACAAAAACTTTGAAATAAAACAAAGACATTTCATATTTTTGATGTTTTGCTATTATTTTGTATTTTATTCCAACATCATATTTTCATGTTGATAAAATTATGTTTATAAATGTCAAAGTTTTTAATGTCGATATTTTTTGCAGCACACATGTTTTATAGTACCTCAATTTATTACATTTTACACACACACACACACACACACACACACACACACACACACACACACACACACACACACACACACACATATATATTCATGAGAATATTTGTCATTGTTCAAATGATAATAAACAAACATGCTTAATGTATGCTTGAACTTTGTTTTATAGGGATTAGTGGACATCAGTTAGATGTGTAACCTTCTTTCAAGGCCAGAGTAGTTACAGTGTAAGTGGATTGACATCTAACATAACATGGCTGAGTACAATTATAACAATCAATAAAAAAAAGGAAAAATAAATAGAATTTCAATTACATTTCTACTTAAATGTGCAAAAATACTAGAACATCAGTCTTTGTGGCATGCAGGTAATCAACTGTTTAAGCTTTTACCATTAACATGTAGAATGAATGTTGCAAATGACTTGAAATTATAGCAACTACAATGTATTGTTAGAGGTAGCATTATGTCCAGCTAGCATGCTAATTGCTAACGTTATATTATCGTTTTATCCCGGAGGGGAAAACTAGTTTCTAATCCTGAGAGAAACACCTCGCCTGAAACACACGATTAGTGCCATGAGTTAGTGAAGCAAATTACAGAACATTGCACACTTAATCACAAGTCAAAACGTGTTCATAGCGGTTACGGCTGAGAATAGCTAGCTAGCTAGATGTTGTTAGCCAGCTTGGACCTATGATAGCAAGTTCTAGCATGGCTAGCTCGATCTACTGAGCAAATAAAAGTACATCTAAGACCAGTATTGTGCAGATTAAAAAAGTGCAGTGCATGTATTTTATTTTACCTTCGTAGTCGTCCCGACATGACTTTGCCAGGTCTGCTAACTTTGCTGAGCCACGGAAACTGCATTCAGTAGAAGCTTCTGAATGCGGCGCTTCGCATCCTCCGAGTAAATCGCCAGAAGCGCCGACACATCCTCATCACTCCACCGCTCCGATGATTTATTTAGTGTTGCTATAATAACTGCTTTCACAAAAGTAATCTCTTCGGGTGCACTGGCCCGAAGCGAGCAAATACAATGGCCGCTTACAAAAAAAAATTCAGAGTCAAACGGGCGTGGTTTGCATTCCGCACAGCCAATCAGACGTACAAACTATTTTCTCCCACGACAGTCCCTGCTCTCTTGCAGGGACTGAAAAGCGGGTCAGACGAACTAATTTGAACTACTTTAGTTCCTGGGGCTTTTTGGTGTGAACGCAAATATATCGTAGTTCTGATGAACTATTGTGGGAAAAGTACTCCAAAGTACTCCGGTGTGAACGCGCCTTATGTTAAAATGTTGTCTGGATGTCCCACATGTATTTTTTATGCAAATTAGTGTCACCATTACCAAAAATGGAATTTTCACACTTTTCACTCTATCTCAGCCAATATTGCAGATAAATGAACAAATAATGTGTCTCGACCATAGACTGTATATATAAATGGACGTAGGGTCCGTGACGTCACCCATAGGATTCTGCAGAGTTGCCGAGAAGCCCTTAGTAGGCGGAGTCGGCCACTAACGGCTCGACAGTGACGTCAGAGTCTAACTCCCGCCTGCTCCAAATAAGGGCAAAGAGGCGGAGCCGAGGCGGGACCTGCTGCCTCCAGCTGGGAAGTAACAGAGCTAGCTCAAGCTAAGAAGCTAAGCTAACATGCTCCCCATCTGCACACTGCCGTCACATTTTACGTTTCTAAGGTAAGCGGACATGAAACTATTCAGCAAAACTATAAATAATAATCTAAGTTATTGAGTTTTTAGCATAATACTTCAGAATCTTAAAATCCCTTAACGTTTGTATGCAATGTGCTAAATGCAACACTGGAATCAAGCAAATTAATATGTTTGCATGACATTAGTTATTTATATTTTGCTATCACTTAATTATACGTTTAATACATTCAAGTCAAGCTAAGGTACAGTACATGTGATGGTAGCTAGTTAGTGCTCCTACCTGTGAGGCCTCCTCCAAACAGCATTATAACCAGACTGTATCATTAAAACTATAAGTACCAGTTCTAGATCCTTGACTTTAGACAAACAATTCAAAAGACAAAATGTATTTAAAGACCAATCTTTATTTGAAGGTGCCTCTTAACCTGAGATATTAGTTATACAGTAATAGTATTGACAATCTAAAAAAACTGAGCAACTCAACAGTCAACTTTATATTTCTTATTGTCTAAAGCATTTATTATTTTCATTTTCCCCCACTCATATTCAGTGTGGACGGATTGAGACAGCGTGGTGTCCAGAGAGCTGCAGAGACTTCAGGGAGAAACCTCCGTGTGATGGACGTCCAGTCTGTTGGTTTGGAGAGGACTGAGGGTCGTTCCTCTGCGAGAAGGACCAGGCCTGATGGAGGAGCCCATGCTGGGCATAGCTGATACCAACTGCACAGGCCTTGTCTGTCACTTTATTTGACTAAATGTGTTTACTTATACATTTAATAGGTTTACACCTTCTGTCCATATGTGCTTTTTTATTTAAAACATGTTTGATTAACTTTTGGTTCACATTTCAATAAATTGGATTTGTATTTGCACTCCTTTTGTCCATTATTCTTACTGAAAATGTTAGATTACACATTCACATCTGACTGAAGATTGGCCCCATTTATTTGTGACGTTGCAAACTCTGCGGTACAAGGTACAGGTGTTGTGAAGCTCATAAAGTGAGGCAAATAGAATTAATCAGCTGATGGAGTGTAGATGTGGAAATAGGTGCATTCGATCAGCTGACTTCACAATAAAAGTAGTTTCTTAGTGAATGTCCTGTACTGGTCTTAAAATCTCATAACATCAGCTTTTAATTTTCCTCTTGGATGTTCTTCTTGACCCTCAGAGAAGGAGAAAATGTTGAGTCGTGTCTTTCAGGCATGTCCTTTCCTAACAAAAATTACAGGAAACATAAAACATATTATTGCAGAACAAGTGTGTTATTTATGAAAGAGGTGAGCTTGTGTTTAGGGGCTGTAGATATAATTATTTTGTAATTGTAATGTTTTATTTTATTTCAACAGTGAGCTACAAAGACAATCAGATTATGAATGAACAGTATGACATTCATCAACATTGAAATATATTTTATTATCAAAATAATATTTAACTGTTATCAAAACTTAGTGCAACTGCAGAAGCTTGCTCTGTTCTCTCACTGAAATCATAACTTTTACCACGTTTTTTACAGACAATATTGAGAGATAAATAGTAGCAGTTCTCACTAATAGCTTTGCCTTCAATACCTTAAATTAGAAAGCTGACAAAGTAATATTGCTTGTTAACATGTAACCCTTTGCATGGAAAAAACCCTCAACTTCACTGATGTGTAGGTGATCTAGTATTTAGTATTGTTTAATGGAATGTATATCAGTGTATTAAAGTCAATACTTCATTTATTTAAACCAATATCTTTCTTGATTCTTTGTACAGTATGAAAAAAGAGTATTTGTACCTGTGCTGAAGTTCACTGCTGTGAGGAGTCCAGTTCTGTCTCTCACTCTCTGGTCCAGCCTGTCTGCATCACCTGGAAACTTTAAACAAACAGATATATATGTAAAGAACCATGTGTACAAACAATATAACTTATTCTCTTCTGTTGAACATGTTGGATTGTGTATTGTCCGAGTCAGGGTCCTTTTTATTTTACTGTAACTTTGGAAGTTGTGTTACCAATGCTTACTGTTTATTTGATACCAATTTGGTAATGCAATTAATAAAAACAACAAGGTTTGGGTTCGTTCTTCAGATGACTGTGACGTTAACGTGTAAGCTCAATAATGAACTCCAGCTCAACCAACCATATTGTAATATCTAAGTAATCATTTTGAAATATGACATTAATAATTGTAATATACACACATCTTATTGTGAGGTTGATTTCACATACACTACTTCGACGTTAGCTTGTCTACATACTTGAGCATAGCCAATTTAAATTAACCTTAGCGATGCATACAGTTACTACCTACATAATAAAATATCTCTCTAAGTTACAAGGATGACCTTATTTTATCAACCTCAAACAGAAGCCTTTTGTTCTACAGTACTATCTCACTTAACGCTTAACACTTGTCTATTTCATTTTAACCTTTATATATACAGTCTATGGTTTTAAGTTAACTTGGAGGATACAATTAGCATCGTTAGCACCGATGTAGCTACCACTCGCTTACACGCTAACCCAAGCCTTGACATTCATTACGTAGCTGATTAAAATCATAAACACATAAATAAAGTACTCAAATTTCACTTACCGCAAAACCGCATTCATGCACCGTCTGTTTTAACCGCAGAGCGAGTCACAATAGTCCGATATATAAGCATGAAGAACAAACAAACACGGCCGGGGTCAAGTTGTGTTCCCTGGATGAACTGAGCAGGCAGAGTCCCTGTAGCTTCACGGAGACGGAGCAGCTAGCAGAGAGACAAGAAGCTAACAGCA